ATTATATATTATATATATTATATACATATATATATATAATATATAATATATAATATATATATTATATATAGTATATATATTAGATGTATGTTTGCTAACGCACACAAACACACCCTCATTTATATTTGCGTATAAATAAAGACGAAGCAAATATAATTTACTGTTTCATCAAATGCATTATAATTAAAGTGTATATAAAATTAAAGTGTATATATAATTAAATTGTATATATATAATTAAATTGTATATATATAATTAAATTGTATATAATATGCTAAGCTCATCGCCTTAAGGATTAACACACAAAGCAAAGGATATTGTTTTAAAAATATATTTATTATTATGAATTGCCTCTCCTTTATATATCAGTCAGATATTTATATTGTTTTAATAAATAAATATACAATAATTTATTTTGTTTATTGTTGAAGACAACAGACTTTCGTTGACTTAATAAAAGAAGAGAGAAGGAAGGAGCCTCTAAGGAGTGCATCTGAAGTTTAATATTTTAATTATATTTATTTAACTTTAATAAGCTCTCTGATATACTCAGTTGTATATAATAGCATTTATATATTTTAATTGTAAGGGTGAAACGCCTATTGAATAAATGCAGCAGTATACAGAGTTTATTAGATAAATTATATATTTAAACATTTAGTAGAAGAGCTCTTAATAACAACGAACTAAAAAAGTTAATCTTAAGGTATTGTAGATAAAGAAATAAACAGTTTGTTTGGGTTTGATGATAGTACAGTCTATAAATCTTAAGACATTAAAAATAATATTAATAATGCATGCGCAGCTAAGCCCCTCAATGCATGCATTACTACTGTGTATATTCATTAAGAGCTCCTTCTTCTAAAGTAAATATTCATTTAAATAGAAATACGTTCAATAGTCTAAAGCTGAGTATACACCGCAAATAGACAGACACAGAGAGAGACAACAAGGATGGGTGCAGCATAAGCCTCAATACGAATTGTAATTAGCATATTCAAGACTATATATAAAGAATTAAAACATAAAAAGATAATATATTTATATATTTTAGTTTTATATGAAGAGTTGTTGCTGCTCACTGCTGTACACTGCATGTACACCTGCTGCATGCTTAGCGGGTGCAGGGGCTCTGCTGTTTACGAGTTGCTGCAGAAGCAGCACATATTAATATTAATATTTATTTTTCAATTGTTTATTAAAGAAGAAGTCAAGAGAAAACGCAAAAAGAATAAATCATCTGCATGCACTGCAGACGGTAGCTGAGGGGCAGCCCCTGTGGGGTTCTGCTGCGGCTGCTGCAGCAGCAGCAGCTGCTGCTGCTGCTGCTGCTGCTGCGTAAGTGAGAAGTGTGGATGCAGGTTGTTCTGTGCGGGGAGTTTTATTGTTTATTATTATTGTGTTTCGAGGCTTTAGAATAAGCTTCGAACAGGAGTAGCAGCAGCAGCAGCAGGAACAGCAGCAGCAGCAGGAACAGCAGCAGGAGGATTATCCCTGCGTATTGAAGATGGTGTCCGCCGAGTTGCTGTGGCAGTGCGTGAGGAAGACGAGCTGCTATATAAAGAAGTCTAATGGGGTAGTGCTGACGAGCGAGCCTTTAAACTTGACACAAAAGAACACGCTTCGTCACTCAGGCTTATGTCATAAGCTGCCTGTCGGCATATCTTTGGTCGGAAACAGCGAAGCAGTTAGAGTATCCCACAAGCTTAAGGGAGGCAGGAAGTTTCGGTGAGTGCTGCTGTTGCTGCTGCTGCTGTTGTTGCTGCTGTTGCTGCTGTTGCTGTTGCTGCTGTTACTGCTGCTGGTGTTGCTGCTGCTGCTGTTGCTGCTGCTGGTGTTGCAGCAGCAGGACTGTTGCTGTCGTATTTAGTGCACGTATAAAGATTACACATGTAGAGGGAAATACGTCTTGCCTCGCAGCAGCAGCAGCAGCAACAATAGCAGCAGAAGTAGTATCCCGTTTCAGCAGAGACGCTGCTGCTGCTGCTGCTGCTGCTGCGTGTACAGTGCATAATGGTGTATATAATTTATCTCTGCTGCATTTTAATGATAGTCTGTTTTTGTGTGTATATACATCACCGCTATTACCTCTAACTTATTCTACAGATTTGTTGTTATCTGTTTTATTGAATTTCTGCTGCTTCTACATGCATCGTTGCTGCTGCTGCTGCTGCTGCTGTTGCTGTTGCTGCTGCTTCAGATATCCTCGTCGGTGCGTGACGAGTAAGAAGTTCGCGAAGACGCACAGCAAGACAAAAGAGCTGCAGCAGCTGGTTGCTCAGCAGCGGCCCGACTTAGTGAAGATTGCGAAGAAGAGGTTTCATAAAATGTGTAGAGTCTCACCTAAAGCCTCTCAGCAACAGGGGCAATAAACTAACAAACCAATTATTTGCTGCTGCTGCTGCTGCATGCATGCATGCATGCATGCATGCAGATATGCAGATGTGAAGATGTGCAGATGCATGCAACTATAACAACAGCAACAGCAGTAGTAGTAGTAGTAGTAGCAGCAGCAGGGTGTAGATAGGGGAGGACAGAAGTGCTGCTCGCTGCATCTGCTGCAGCAGCTGCAGCAGCTGCTGCAGCTGCTGCAGCTGCTGCTTCGTTTTGAAAGAAGATATTTCTGTTGCTGTTCTTCTTACTGGCTCCCTCGGGTGTCAGCAAGAAGTATGTAAATAAAACAGACAACTGCTGCAGCATAAGCATGTCTTTGCCTCTGTATTATCAAGGAAGAGAGGGAGAGAGGGTTTATAGACAATTCTGCATGCGCATGCATTCCTTGGGGCTTTCATTCATTCACAGGCCCCTGTCTTCTGCTGCTGCTGCTGCTGAAGCAGCATTAGATTAACAGAAACAATAATAATAATAATAATAATAATAAATAATAATAATAAATAATAATAGTAAGATCAGTATTAACAAGTACTGAAAATGATTAGAGTAGTAATCGTGCTGATGAGTATTATGAGTATTGACAATTAGTAAAAATAAATAATAAATAATAATAATAAATAATAATAGTAATAATAATAAATAAATAAATAATAATAATATTAATGCATGCATGCATGCGTTGTAGAGAAAGAGTTAATTAAGGGTGGGGGCCCCCCACACCGAAGACACCCGGCGAAGATCTACGCTGGCGGTCAGAGGGGGCCCCCTGCAAATAATGCATGCGCTCTCTCTGAGCAGCAGCAGCAGCAGCAGCAGCAGCAGGAGTGTCAATGCCATAATCTAGGGAACTTAGTGCACTACTGCTGCAGCTGCTGCTGCTGCTGTTGCTGCTGCTGTCTCCCCAGGCATTCCGCCGCAGCCATTGCTGCTGCTGCTGTTGCTGCAGCATTAATTCTTCTCTTGAGCTGCTGCTGCAGGAAGACGATGCTTCCGATTCGGCGTCTTCGTAATAAACACTCTCTGCCCCAACAGCTGAAGTAAACGCGGTGTACAGACAGCAGCACACAGAAGAACAGCCTCTCAGCTATATATATATATATATATATGTATATATATGTATATATATAATTAGAATAATATATATATGCGTATATCAGTACATTGATATATATATATATATATGTATATATATATTCATATATATATATTCTATATATATATAATATATAATATATATACATATATAGATATATATATGTATATATATATATATATACAGAAGCGTCTTTAAGTTGTGGGGCATGCAGATTAATAAAAGCAAAGTGAGAAAGAAGAAGAAAGCACTTACTTTGTTCATCATCATAACCCCCGTATGTCTTTTTGCTGTTTGTTGCGGTTCTAGAGGGGGCCCTTGACGACTCGCTGCTGCTGCTGCTGCTGCTGCTTCTGCTGCTGCTGCTGCTGCTGCTGCTGCTGTAGCTGGTGCTTGTATGCTCTGTCGTATCTGTATCATACTCATCAACCCCCTTTATATTTATTTTTCTCCCTGCAGATTTTAACTCAGTCGGTGTCTGCTGAAGCCACGGCTCAGAACGAAATAAGCCTGGAAGCAAAGTGTCTCTTAATAAACATGCACACGCACATATATATATATATATATTTGTTTGTTTGTTTATTTATTTATTTAGATATATATGTGTTTATATATGCATTTAGTTGTTTATATACTTACATATATTTATATGTTCATTTATATGTATGCATGTATATATATATATATATATTATAATAATAATAAAAATAATAGAGTAATAATAATAAATAGAAATAGACTAAATACAATATATATATTATATTATATTACATTATATTAATATACATATATATGAGGCAGGAGAATGAATGCACATAAACACACATACCTCAGTTGTTTATGCGTTGTAGTAGAAATAATAACATCTATTTAATAATATTATACAATATATATATATATATATTTAATTATATAATAT